TAAAAGTTGTTAAGATGAAGATTAAAAAGTGTTGAGAAGAAGATTAAAAGTATTGAAAATAAGATTTAAGGTACTGAGAATAAGATTAAAAAGTGTTGAGTTTTTGAATAAAAAGTGTTGAAAATAAGATAAAAAAGTGTTGAGAATAAGATTTAAGTTGTTGAGAATAAGATTAAAAAGTGTTGAGAACAAGATTAAAAGTTGTTAAGAACAAGATTAAAAAGTGTTGAGAATAAAAATAAAAATGTTGAGAACAAGATTAAAAGATGTTGAGAAGAAGATTAAAAAGTGTTGAGAGGAAGATTAAAAGTGTTAAGAATAAGATCTAAGGTGTTAAGAATAAGATTAAAAAGTGTTGAGTTAGAGATTAAAAAGTGTTGAGAATAAGATTAAAAGTTTTGAGAATAAGATTAATAATTGTTGAGAATAAGATTAAAAGTGTTGAGAACAAAATTAAAAGTGTTGAGAATAAGATTAAAAGTTGTTGAGAATAAGATTAAAAATTGTTGATAACAAGATTAAAAGTGTTGAGAACAAGATTAAAAGTTGTTGAGAACAAGATTAAAAAGTGCTTAGAAGAAGATTTGAAGTGTTGAGAATAAGATTTAAGGTGTTGAGAATAAGATTAAAAGTGTTGAGTTAGAGATTAAAAAGTGTTGAGAACAAGATTCAAGGTGTTGAGAATAAGATTGAAAAGTGTTGAGAATAAGATTAAAATGTGTTGAGAACAAGATAAAAAAGTGTTGAGTTAGAGATTAAAAAGTGTTGAGAAGAAAATTAAAAGTGTTGAAAAAAAGATTAAAAGTATTGAGAAGAAGATTAAAAATTGTTGAGGACAAGATTAAAAGTGTTGAGAATAAGATTAAAAAGTATTGAGAAGAAGATTACAAGTGTTGAGAATAAGATTTAAGGTGTTGAGAATAAGATTAAAAAGTTGTTGAGAACAAGATTAAAAAGTGTAGAGAACAATATTAAAAGTGTTGAGAATAAGATTTGAGGTGTTGAGAATAAGATTAAAAATTATTGAGAACAAGATTAAAAGTCTTAAGAATAAGATTTAAGATGTTGAGAACAAGATTAAAAGGTGTTGAGAATAATATTAAAAGGTGTTGAGTTAGAGATTAAAAAGTGTTGAAAACAAGATTAAAAATTATTAAGAACAATATTTAAGGTGTTGAGAATAAGACTAAAAGTTGTTAAGAATAAGATTAAAAAGTGTTGAGAATAAGATTAAAAGTTGTTGAGAACAAGATTAAAAAGTGTTGAGAAGAAGATTAAAAGTGTTGAGAATAAAATTTAAGGTGTTGAGAACAAGATTAAAAAGTGTTGAGAAGAAGATTAAAAGTGTTGAGAAGAAAACTTAAGGTGTTGAGAATAAGATTAAAAGGTGTTGAGTTAGAGATTAAAAAGTGTTGATAACAAGATTAAAATGTGTTGAGTTAGAGATTAAAAAGTATTGATAACAAGATTAGAAGGTGTTGAATAAGATTAAAAGATGTTGAAGATGTTGAACTATAGATTAAAAAGTGTTGAGAAAAATGATTTAAGGTGTTGAGCTATAGATCAAAAAATCCTTGATAACAAGATTAAAAAGTGTTGAGAGTAATATTAAAAAGTGTTGAGAAGAAGATTGAAAGTGTTGAGAAGAATATTAAAAAGTGTTGAGAAGAAGATTAAAAGTGTTGAGAATAAGATTTGAGGTGTTGAGAACAATATTAAAAAGTGTTGAGAACAAGATTTAAGGTGTTGAGAGAAAGATTAAAAAGTGTTGAGAACAAGATTAAAAGGTGTTGAGAATAAGATTAAAAAGTGTTGAGAACATGATTAAAAAGTGTTGAGAACAAGATTAAAAGTTGTTGAGAACAAGATTAAAAAGTGTTGAGAACAAGATTAAAAGTGTTGAGAATAAGATTAAAATGTGTTGAGTTAGAGATTAAAAAGTGTTGAGAACAAGATTAAAAAGTGTTGAGAAGAAGATTAAAGGTGTTGAGAAAAAAGATTAAACATCATCACAGATTAAATGGTCTCCCTTGTATATACTTTTTCTATAATTTTTTTCTTCCCCTTATAGTCAACATCATCACAGATTTTTTTATCTTTCAATATGGAATATGATACATGTATGTTTCAGTATGCTTTAGAGCTAATTTGATAGCTATTCTTGATACCCTCTTTCTTTAGATTACCTTCCACTATTTTGGTTGGGACTAAGAACAGCGTTACAAGATTAAAGGTGTTGACAAAAAAGATTAAAAAATGTTGAGAACAAGATTAATGGTGTTGAGAATAAGATTAAAGATGTTGACAAAAAAATTTAAGAGGTTGACAACAAGATTAAAAAGTGTTGAGAATAAGATTAAATGGTGTTGAGAATAAGATTTATGGTGTTGAGAAAAATATTATTATTAAATGTGTTGAGAAAAAAAGATTAAAAAGGTGTTGAGCTATAGATTAAAGGTGTTGAAAACAAGATTAAATTGTGTTGAGAACATGATTAAAGGTGTTGAGAAAATAGATGAAAAATTGTTCAGAACAAGATTAAAGGTGCTGAGAAAAAAGTGTAAAAGGTGTTGAGAACAAGATTAAAAGATGTTAAGCTAGATATTAAAAGGTGTTGAGAATAAGATTAAAAAGTGTTGAAAAGAAGATTAAAAAGTGTTGAAAACAAGATTAAATGATGTTGAAAACAAGATTAAAGGTGTTGAGAAAAAAGATTAAAAAAATGTTCTTAAAATTAAAGGTGCCACTTTTTAATCTTTTTATCATGTTCAAAAATTGTAGAATGAAAATGACAATGCACCAAACACTGTATCCTCCATGAAAGGAGAATAGTTACACAAGAAAACGTGAATCAAGAGGTCAATGATCTCCCAAGTAGCTTTCAATATTGATTTTTGATCTGGATAGTTGGTATCTGATGGCATCGTGAAAGATCGATCACCCATGGCAACTAAGTCCAAGAAACTTTTCCACTTCTGTCAAGAATTCTAAAACTAGTAAACTATCAAAACTGTTCAACGAAATCATCCCTTGTTCAACTCTGTTTTCAAAAGACTTTTTTTATTTGCTTTTTGAGAACAAGAAGCTATTCTTAGAAAATCCAAACCATGCATGCAGTCCCATGTTTTTGAAGAAACTAAAAGTGCCAAAGCAATCCATCTGAAAACTCGACATTCACTTCGTACACAATGCTATTATCTTTTTCATTTACCTAATTTAGTACATGCTGCAAACATCAATTATAAGTACATTAAAAAAAAATTCAATAATCAAACGAACAAACCCTCCTGCCAGTATCTTATTCATTTACCCAAACTAATGCATAGATTGTACTAAATTCAAAACACAGACTACAAAAAAACAGTAAATTTAGAAAGACAAAATTTAACTCTCAAAATCAAAACATCAAGTCAGGAAGGAAAACCATAAATAGAGAACACAATGCTACAACGATAAACAAGTTATCATAGATAAAAGGGCCATGAATAGAAGCATTAACAATCTCCTGAATTCATAAGAACCAAATAATGGAACTCAACTAGGCAAGTATTCCCAAGGGAAGTAAAGTAAAATCAACCATCTTCAATCAAGCTAATTATTTCCGGTACCATTTACTTCATCTACAAAATTATGGGGGGTGAGCAAAGGCCTGGCGGATACAAAACAACGCCATATATGTCTTCTTAACTACAACTTCAAGAGTTTAGATCAAAGGGCTGCATTTAAAAACAATACAGTAAATAAAAATAAAATATGTATTACCATCAATAAATAGCCAATTTTGATTTTTAAAAATAAATAAATAAAATGATAAGCTTACTCAATCACCGCTTAGATTTTCTGATGTTGTATCTTTAGCATGATCGGTTCTCTCATTAACCTAACCACAAGAGTGTTGTATAAATAATTGTTATAACTGTTTAAACAAATAAAAAAAAAAAATTACAATATAACATTATATGAAATAGGTAATAACCTGCTTGAGAAATGGAAAATAAGATGATTGAGAAGTAATATTCACTTCTGTGTTCGATTGTGACAAATTGCAGTTCAATATTTATGCGCTTGTTACACTATCTTTATCACACCGATTAAGAAATTGAAGCCTTTGGTAGTCGTAACTCCTTTGCAAGTTAGGGCTTGGGGGTGGACCGGGTGGTATGGACATCCATGCATACTCGCTTGGAATTTCAGCACCCTAAAAAGAATAAAAATTAAAATGAAAATCCAATGGTAGTCAAACCGGTATGTTTTAAACATTTGTAACATATTAGAGTGTTACTCACTTCATGCTTCACGTATGATTGAACGGGTTATTTCAAAGATTTCTTTTCCTTTTTTGTAGCAATTTCAAATGCTGATTTGAGTCTTTTTTTCCCTCTTGATGTGTCCCCTTTTTTTAAACCATTTACAGTAATGTCATGGCCACTTTGCTCGTAAGTGACATGAATTTGATGCCCATTGCTAGCCTTGGATGAGTATTCATCATTATGTTGCACCCGCTTTTGCCTTCTCATTTCTTCAAGAAGCTTAAGCAAATGTTCCCTGTGGATAATGGATAAATTAAAAAAATCTTCACCCTCTGATGCAAATGAACTAACGCGAGTGAATAAATAACACATGTCTCTATATCTTTGTCGTTGTTGCAATTTAGGATCCGTTTGCACTTCACGGCCAATGAAATCCAACACTACCCCATCTCTTGCCTCTCGAGTCCACCGTTTTAGTACGTATTCCTTAGGTAATTCAGTTTTGTGTAACACTTCTCTCATGACCTTTAACATGTGTGAACACGGAATACCATCCATTTCAAACATCCAACAACTGCATGTTAAAAAGTCATATGTTTTCCTTCTTACACGCCATTCTTGATTATGTTTTTCTAGTGAGACCACTTTGTATATAACTTCTCCATCCTCCTAAATTGATTCTTTGAAATAGAATTCAACTGTACCTTGAATTTCTTTTTGAAATAACTAAAATATTTTTTTCGTTTAAATCTAACCAGCTTTGACTACCATCATGCACGGAAGTTTAACATTCGGCTCTTGGTGAGTCAAATCATACTCCGCCTTTAGCTCAATATACCTTTTCTCAGTGATCATCCTATCAAAATGTTTGAAAAAATCAGGAATATTATGGTCAGATTTAGCAAATTTTTTCAATCCGAAATTGAAGCTTTCACTAAGTTGAGTGTTATGCATACCAGCACACCAGTGATTTTTCACAAATGCCTTTGCCCATTTGGTCCTTAAATTATACGTTTCAGAAAACCATTTGTTGTTACGAACACCACACTCGGTTAGCATGGAGTCCCAACATATTTCAAAATCATCTTCATTCTCATATTTTTTCATAAACTCAGATAAAATGCCTGTTATACCCACTGGACCCTTGATAACATTACCTAAATGCTTCGTACCATTTTGCATAATATGCCATATACAAAGATGGTGGTGTGTCTCGGGCATCACCAATGCTAATGCCTTTGTAATAGCCGCATCTTGGTCACTTATAATTGTCTTCGGAAATTTATGAGACATTGTCTTACAAAATGTTTCAAACAACCATACAAATGAATCAGATGTCTCATCATACATTAAAGCACCTCCAAATATAACTGTTTCTCTTTGATGATTCAGACCAACAAAAGCGGCAAATGGTCGATTCACATTATTCACCTTGTATGTTGTGTCAAACGACACAATATCTCCAAAATGACCATAATAAATAATCATCCTTGCATCAGCCCAAAATATATTGGTTATATAGTCATCTTTGTCCAACTGAACCGCATGAAAAAATGTGGGATTTTCCAACTTCTGTGATTGAAAATACTCAAATATGAATCCAGCCTCTCCAGATTGTAATTGTTTTTGTCTCTTGATTCTCAAATAATTTTTTTGGTCTACTTTTGTAAACCCAAGCGCTTCTCTTGCCCAGGATTGCCGTCCCATTAGTTCATATGAAGAACCAACTGGTCGTCCAAAATCATCAGCCAAGTCGACATCAATTGCTTAAGGTATAGAGATGTTCCGTTGTGAAGGCATCAAATAAGTACAATCTTTTCTAATAAGTTTATGGTTGTGCTTCTCTTCAAATCTGTCTGTGAAATATATTCCTTCCCCTCTTTCAAATTTTATATGCATGAATGCACCACATCCGACCCTTGTTTCTGCCCTAGCTTCTTTTGTAAGATGGTCCCTTTTGTCATTTACTCTGTAACCATCCTTGCAAGATACAAATTGGGCAAAAGTAATTTCTCCAGTTTTAGTGTTTTTATTGGAATAATCTATTCTCACACTAAATCCAACTTCACGTCCGTAAGCATTGTAAAAGTTGTATGCATTTTCAAAGGACTTGAACATCATTCCAATTTTAGGTTTATGGCCTCCTTCACCTAATGGAGTATCCATTTAAAACCACCACCTATAATAAGATAACAAAGTGTCTTAGAGAATGCATCCTCACAAAAAGGTAATAACAATAAAGAGATAAGTAAAAAAGAAAAGAAAAACCCCAAGAACCAAGAGATGGGGGAGGGGAGTTGAGAAGTACTAAAAATATTAATAAAATGACGAGTATTGTTGTAATACCCCGTAATTTTAAAGAGTGTATTTAAATTAATTTTGTGTTAGGTTAATTAATTTTATTTATTTGTGCATGTAATATTGATTTATGTTCTATATAGTATAATGATTAGTTTTGAAATTTTTATTGGTTATGTTTTAGATTAATTATTATTATTTAATTAAAGTATTTAATTTGTATATAATAATAATAATATAATAATAATAATAATTATAAAAGTTTATTAATAATAATAATAGTTATAATAATAATAATAGTATTAAACCAATGTCATGATGAAATTAGAGATTAGGATAGGATTTCATCAATATTTATGGGTGGAATTGAAGCCATATGGTTGCGAAGGTGGTTAATTAAATACAAAAATAGATATTTGTAATATTTATGTTATATAATTTGTATATAAATTAGCTAGCCTACCTTAGAAGGAAAGAAAGGGAGTTAGAAACAAATTATAAATTCTAGTGAGCCATTGTAAGAGTGTGGAAAGGAAGAGAAAGAAAGAAAGGAGCTTGGACCGGTGTAGGGAATTTACCCGACTACGCGCAACCGGCGGATTTATTTTAAATCCAAAAAGGCAAGTTATTATCTATTTTTCCCCTTTGAATTAATAAATTAATTGTTTAGTTTATTGATATTATTTTAGAGCATAGAGACCATGTAAGGAGTTTAATAAATTAGGAATTTTAGTTTATTAAATTTGTGAAATTTTAATTATTTAGGATGGTATATAATTAGTTATTATCCTAGGATGTTCAAAATAGCTAAAAATATTTCCTTAAGGCATTAGGAATTTTTTTAGAATTTTTAGGAATTTTCCAGGGCTTTTCTGCATTTTCCGGCGAGTTTTCCGGTCGCCGGCAATGGGGGAGATGACCGGAGTGATCCGGTGTGTTGCGGCGTACTGCAGGTTGGTGTGCGCGCACATCCTGGCCCTTGAGAGTGTTAGATTGATCCGGTGCATCGCGGTCCATGTTAGCGCGATACACCCGGATCAATGACCGTTGGATTAGGTGTAAGGTGATAGATGGATCCGGTGTTGTGCACCCACAACAAAGTCCATTCAACCACCGAATCAGGAGCCGCCGCGTCAGCAAGGTACCATTAGTGCGCGCGTGGCAGCGCGTGCGCGCGCGTGGAACGCTCCAGACGCGCGTGGGAGCGCGTGCGGGCGCGTGGCTGATGCCAGACGCGCGTGGAGGCGCGTGGGAGAGTGGGGAAGGTTGGGCTGCGCGTGGGGAGGCTCTGGGAGGCGCGTGAGGGCGCGTGTGGGGTCTCTACAGCTGCTGGAAATTACCAGAATACCCCAGGGCCTGTTTTGTAATTTCCAGAACCTTAAACTTGCACTTTTGGGCCTATGGTTGGTACTTACGGGTTTAACGGGACATTAAATTATTATTTTATTAACCGTTAGTTATTATTATGTCTGATTAATATTTTTAAATATTAATTGTATCGTTTTCAATACAGATCACCATTAAACGGATGTAGTTAATTTAATGACATTGTTAATCATTAATTGTGTTATTATTTTATTAAACAGTATTAAATCATTAATGTTAAAATTAAATGATTACATGGTTTTAATTCAAATAAATTGTCCGTTATACATTGCAGGATTATTTATGTTGTTAATGATATACAAACCATGATTATTATACTGTGTGCATTTCAGGAAATAAATGGACTGTTTAATTATGTCACATTTATATTATATGGATGAGTTGCCATATAGAACCATGTGAGCTGGCTAATAAGTTTAGACTCATTTATACCTTATGCATTCGTTGCTATAGACAGATGTGTGGCTGTCGGGGTATGTGGTTTAATATTATTGGCATGTGTTGCCTAACTAACATACTCGGTATATTTATTAATATTGCTGGCATGTGTTGCCTAACTTATCTGCTCAGTATATTCATCAGTACTTTGCGAGGTGTTATCACTGTGTAGTTCGTTATAGTCTGTGTTGTCGGTACCGTGCACCATGTATAATAGCTGATTTCCCGGGTGGGGAAAGGCGACACTTAACCACCTAGTGTGAGTCTAAATGATCACCGTCTATTCTGGTTGAGGTCATGTCATACATGGGATAGTTCCCTTAGGATGTATACAGATATAGTACTCAACCGATTCATAATGATTAATTTATTTGATTCTCTGATTTGGGTCATAGTAGAGAGGACTTGCTCGTGGGGTTGACCCACCATTGTTGTTATTTCAGGATACGGTCAGTACCCGTTCCAAGGTTGAGGTTAGCAGTGTGGGACCACCATCCGAACTCATCTACTCTTACGATCCAGTTCAGGGTAGAAGTTTTATGTATTACTTCAGTTTCAGTTTTTATTTACTTTTGACGTTGAACTCTCAGGGTTATATTTAGGGATCCTTGACATAGGATTTCCAAGTTGTAATGAAGTACTGTATTAAATAAAGGATGGATGGATGTTGTATTATTTAGTGTTCCTTTCTTGTCTAAATTCTTTTATTATCATCATTTTGTATTCCATGCTTGTATATTGCCAATTGTTTTTGATATCCCTCGTTTTTCGTGTATAAGCCTGATCAACTTATGCGTGGAAAATGTGGGGGTGTTACAGTTGGTATTAGAGCATTCCAGGTTCGAGTGTCTTAGGGATCTGTGATTACTATACTTCCGCGTTGTGTATTCTGATAATTAGAGCCTAAGTATTAGGGTTCTTTGTATTCTTTTAGTCGGTCCATTATAATGTACTGACGTTAGATTTTTCTGAATTTAAAAGAAGGATGTCTCGGCGTGGGACAAGGAATGCGAACCAGCATCGCAGTATTTCCCCAACTCAAAATGAGAATCAGGAATTTTCCCCTCAAGTTGCTGATATCATTGCACGAGTTGTGGCAGCAGGAGTAGCATCTGCTCTACGAAACCAGCAACCTCCTCCGATAGTACCTGTTCCTGAACCAGTGGCACAGCCAATGTCATGGGACAAAACTCGTCACTCGTTTATCAGAGGGCCTAGCACTTATTTATTCGTTCTTGAGGATGACTCACAGGAAGCGACTGCGGTATCTCTTGACAGCATTCCGGTAGTACAGGAATTTCAGGATGTATTCCAGGAAATTCCAGGCTTGCCACTGAGTCGAGAGATAGACTTCGTTATTGATTTAGCTCCAGGCACTACGCCTATTGCTAAGGCGCCGTACAGAATGGCACCAGTGGAGATGCGAGAGTTGAAGGATCAAATTCAGCAGTTGCTCAGCCAGGGATTTATTCGCAGGAGTACTTCACCATGGGGAGCACCAGTACTGTTTGTAAAGAAGAAGGATGGATCTCTTCGTCTTTGTATTGATTACAGAGAACTGAACAAGGTCACGGTTCGCAACAAGTACCCGTTGCCCAGAATTGATGACCTGTTTGATCAGTTGAAGGGAGCTACTTACTTCTCAAAGATCGATTTGAAGTCTGGTTATCATCAGCTACGAGTCAGAAAACAAGATGTTCCAAAGACAGCATTTCTCACAAGGTACGGATCTTATGAGTTTCGTGTTATGCCCTTCGGTTTAACGAACGCTCCAGCTGTCTTTATGGACTTGATGAATAGAGTATTCAGAGAATACTTAGATCAGATTGTCATTGTTTTCATTGATGATATTCTGGTTTACTCTAAGTCGGAGAATGACCATGCCAGACATTTACGCACAGTATTGCAGACACTTCGAGAACATCAATTGTTTGCGAAGTTTGAGAAGTGTGAATTTTGGCAGAAAGAGGTCAAATTTCTGGGACATGTAGTGTCAGAAGAAAGGTTAGCAGTAGATCCAGCCAAGGTTGCGGCCGTTATGGAGTGGGGACAGCCTACCTCACCGACAGAGATTCGCAGTTTTCTGGGATTGGCGGGGTATTATCGCAGGTTCATCCAGGGATTTTCCAAAATTGCGGGTCCACTTACTCATCTGACTAAGAAGAATGTACCATTTGTATGGGATGATTCTTGTCAGACTGCTTTTGCTGAATTAAAGAGTAAGTTAACTTCTGCACCTGTCTTAGCCACACCTCACAGTGGAATCGAGTATTTAGTATTTACCGACGCTTCTCTGAAGGGTTTGGGTTGTGTGTTGATGCAAGAAGAGCGACCAGTTTCTTATGGGTCTAGGAAGCTTAATTACCCGACTCACGATCTAGAGCTCGCAGCAGTGGTTTTTGCCTTGCGTATTTGGAGACATTATCTTTTGGGGGAGACTTTTCGATTGTTTAGCGATCATAAAAGTCTACAGTATTTGTTCACACAGAGGGAACTGAATATGAGACAGCGCAGATGGTTGGAGTTCGTGAAAGACTATCACTTCTCTATACAGTATCATCCAGGGAAAGCGAATGTTGTAGCAGACGCACTCAGCCGCCGACCCTGTGTCAGCCTTTCAGCTTTGTTTACAACAGAGTGGGATGCTTTGAAGACTGTTGATGAGTTAGCAGATGCTTTTATGGCATGTGTGGTAGTAACTCCTTCTATCATTCATCAGGTCATTCAAGCGCAACTCTCAGATCAACAGTGTATTGATCGGGTTTCGGAGTTAGCCTCCGGAGATGTTCCTTTTTATTCTATAGGGACTGATGGAGGATTGAGGTACAAGGGACGTTTAATTGTGCCTTCAGCTGACAATTTGAGAAATGTTGTGATGAGAGAGACACACACTTCTCAGTTCTCTGTACATCCAGGGGGAGACAAGATGTATCAGGACATGAAACGCCAGTTTTGGTGGGCCGGCATGAAAAGAGATATAGCTATCTTTGTCTCTAAATGTAGCACCTGTCAGATGATTAAGATTGATCATCAGAGACCGCCAG